GTGGCCACCAAGGTTTTGGTGACCACCAGACCCCAAATTTTGGTAGCCACCAAGGTTTTGGTGACCACCAGACCCCAAATTTTGGTGGCCACCAAGGTTTTGGTGGCCGCCAGGTGCAGGTGGAGCTCCAGGGCCGCGCCGGGCGCTCGGAGCGGCGCCGACTCGGCGCCTTCGGCCTCGGCCACGCCCGGGCGGGGCTGGGCGACATCTGGGACTTCTGAGGGGACATTTTGGGGACAATTCCGGGGCTTTGGGGACATTTTGGGGACGTTTTGGGTGAATTTTGGGACATTTGGGACAATTTTGGGGACATTTTGGGACATTTGGGGACATTTTGGGTGAATTTTTGGGACATTTTCGGTGAATTTTGGGGACATTTGGGACATTTTGGGTGAATTTTGGGACATTTGGGGACATTTGGGGACATTTTAGGGAAATTTTGGGTGAATTTTTGGGACATTTTGGGTGAATTTTGGGACATTTGGGACATTTTGGGGACATTTTGGGGTATCTGGACATTTTTGGGACATTTTGGGAAATTTTGGGTGAATTTTGGGACATTTTGGGGACATTTGGGGACAATTTGGGGACATTTTGGGTGAATTTTGGGACATTTGGGACATTTTGGGTGAATTTTGGGACATTTTAGGGACATTTTGGGTGAATTTTTGGGACATTTTCAGTGAATTTTGGGGACATTTGGGACATTTTGGGTGAATTTTGGGTGAATTTTGGGACATTTTGGGGACATTTGGGGACAATTTGGGGACATTTTGGGTGAATTTTAGGGAAATTTTGGGTGAATTTTGGGACATTTTGGGCACATTTTGGGGACATTTTGGAGTATCTTTGGACATTTTTGGGACATTTTGGGAAATTTTGGGTGAATTTTGGGACATTTTGGGGACATTTCAGGAGATTTTTTGAGGTTTTGGGACATTCGGGGGACATTTGGGGAAATTTTGGGGACATTTTTGGGATATTTTGGGACATTTTTGGGGTTTCTTTGGACATTTTTGGGACATTTTAGAACATTTGGGGACAATTTTGGGGATTTTGGGACATTATGGGACATTTTGGGACGTTTTTAGGTCATTTTTGGGACATTTTGGGACATCTTTGGGGTATTTTTGGACATTTTTGGAACATTTTTGGGACATTTCAGAACATTTGGGGACATCTGGGGAGATTTTGGGGATATTTGGGGACATTTTGAGGACATTCCAGAACATTTTGGGGACAATTTTGGGGCTTTGGGGACATTTTGACGTTTTTAGGACTTTTTGGGGATATTTTTGTGGGTTTTTTGGGACATTTTGACATTTTTAGGACATTTTGGGGGATTTTTTTGGGCCATTTTTGTGTTTTTTTGCGACATTTTGCCTTTTTTTCGGCCACTTTGGGACCTTTTTTGGGGCGTCTTGGGGACATTTTTTGGGGGTTTTCAGACATTTTGAGGCTTTTTTGGGACTTTTTTGGAATTTTTGGCCTCGGGGCGGGGGGGGCGTGGCCAACAAATTTATGCAAATTACCCTCAGTTCCGCGTGTGTGAGGGGGCGTGTTTATCCAAACCCAATAAAGCGAGCTCAACCCTCATTATGCAAATGAGCCTCGTTCTTGAGCAGGACTCATTAACCAGCCGGGCCGGGGGTAATTAGGGAGATGAGGGGCGCCTTTATGCAAATCACGCGCGCCTTTATGCAAATCACGCGCGCCTTTATGCAAATCACGCGCGCCTTTATGCAAATCACGCGCGCCTTCATGCCGCGAGCGCGGCGGCGCTATGCAAATGATCCCCATGCAAATGAGCGCCATGCAAATGAGCGCTATGCAAACAGCGGGGCGGGGGGGAGAGGGGGCGTGGCTTGCTTTCCATATAAGGAGCGGGCGGCGGCGCGGCGGCCAATGGCGGCGCGGTATGCAAATGAGGGGTGACGCGGGCGGCGCGGCGGTGACGTCACGCAGCGATGGCGGCGCGGCGGTGACGTCACGCAGCGATGGCGGCGCCGCGGGTGTCGCTGGGGGCGCTGAAGGAGCCGCTGGGGCTGAGCCGCGGCCTGCAGTGGGTGAGGGACTGGTTTGGACTGGTTTGGACTGGTTTGGACTGGGGTGGACTGGGGTGGACTGGGGTGGACTGGGATTTACTGGGTTATACTGGGATTTACTGGGATTTACTGGGATTTACTGGGTTATACTGGGATTTACTGGGTTATACTGGGATCTACTGGGATTTACTGGGGTGGACTGGGTTATACTGGGATTTACTGGGTTTTACTGGGATTTACTGGGTTATACTGGGATTTACTGGGATCTACTGGGGTGGACTGGGGTGGACTGGGATTTACTGGGTTATACTGGGATTTACTGGGATCTACTGGGGTGGACTGGGTTATACTGGGATTTACTGGGATCTACTGTGTTATACTGGGATTTACTGGGTTATACTGGGATCTACTGGGATTTACTGGGTTATACTGGGATTTACTGGGTTATACTGGGATTTACTGGGATTTACTGGGGTGGACTGGGTTATACTGGGATTTGCTCGTTTGGACTGGGTTATACTGGGATTTACTGGGTTTTACTGGGATTTACTGGGAGATACTGGGGTGGACTGGGTTATACTGGGATTTACTGGGAGATACTGGGGTNGGACTGGGTTATACTGGGATTTACTGGGAGATACTGGGGTTTACTGGGTTATACTGGGATTTACTGGGAGATACTGGGGTGGACTGGGTTATACTAGGTTATACTGGGATTTACTGGGTTATACTGGGATCTACTGGTTTGTACTGGGATTTACTGGGGTGGACTGGGTTGTACTGGGTTATACTGGGATTTACTGGTGTGTACTGGTTTATACTGGGCTATACTGGGTTATAGTGGGTTATACTGGGATTTACTGGGACTTACTGGGTTATACTGGGATTTACTGGGACTTACTGGGTTATACTGGGATTTACTGGGATCTACTGGGTTATACTGGGATTTACTGGTTTGTATTGGGTTATACTGGGATTTACTGGTTTATACTGGGATTTACTGGTTTGGACTGGGACTTACTGGTTTATACTGGGATATACTGGGATTTACTGAGATATACTGGTTTATACTGGTTTATACTGGGATTTACTGGTTTGGACTGGTTTATACTGGGACAGACTGGTTTATACTGGGTTATACTGGGAGATACTCTCAGATTTTCCCAAATTTCCATTTTCCCCTCAATTTCTGTCAAATTTTCCCAAATTTCCATTTTTCCCCCCAGTTTTTGCCAAATTTTCCTAAATTTAATTTCCCCCCCAGTTTTTATGAAATTTTCCCAAATTCCCCCTTTTTCCCCCTGTTTTTGCCGAATTTTCCCAAATTTCCCATTTTTCCCCCCCGTTTTTTCCCAAATTTTCCCAAATTTCAGTTTCCCCCCGTTTTTTTTCCGGATTTTCCCAAATTTCATTTCCCCCCAGTTTCTATCAAATTTTCCCAAATTTCCATTTTTTTCCCCCGTTTTTTTCCCGAATTTTCCCAATTTTCCCCTTTTTCCCCCCAGCTTTTCCCGGATTTTCCCAAATTCCCCGTTTTCCCCCAGTTTTTTCCGGATTTTCCCAAATTTCTATTTTTCCCCCCGTTTTTTCCCAGATTTTCCCAAATTCCCCATTTCCCCCCCCGTTTTTTTCCCAAATTTTCCCAAAATCCCCGTTTTTCCCCCCGTTTTTTGCCTCATTTTCCCAAATTCCCCATTTTTCCCCCCCGTTTTTTCCCAGATTTTCCCAAATTTCCATTTTCCCCCCCGTTTTTTCCCGGATTTTCCCAAATTCCCCGTTTTCCCCCATTTTTTCCCGGATTTTCCCAAATTTCCATTTTTCCCCCCATTTTTTCCTGGATTTTCCCAAATTCCCCTTTTGTCCCCCCAGCTTTTCCTGGATTTTCCCAAATTCCCCGTTTTCCCCCCCAGTTTTTTCCGGATTTCCCCAAATTTCCATTTTTCCCCCCGTTTTTTCCCAGATTTTCCCAAATTCCCCATTTTCCCCCATTTTTTCCCGGATTTTCCCAAATTTCCATTTTTCCCCCCATTTTTTCCTGGATTTTCCCAAATTCCCCTTTTGTCCCCCCAGCTTTTCCTGGATTTTCCCAAATTCCCCGTTTTCCCCCCCAGTTTTTTCCGGATTTCCCCAAATTTCCATTTTTCCCCCCGTTTTTTCCCAGATTTTCCCAAATTCCCCATTTCCCCCCCCCGTTTTTTTCCCAAATTTTCCCAAAATTGCCGTTTTTTGCCCCAGTTTTTCCCGAATTTTCTCAAATTTCATTTCCCCCCCAGTTTGTATCAAATTTTCCCAAATTTCCTTTTTTTTTTCCCCCATTTTTTCCCGAATTTTCCCAAATTCCCCATTTTCCCCTTTTTTTCCAGATTTTCCCAAATTCCCCATTTTCCCCCCCCGTTTTTTCCCTGATTTCCCCAAATTTCCATTTTTCCCCCCATTTTTTCCCGAATTTTCCCAAATTTCATTTCCCCCCCAGTTTGTATCAAATTTTCCCAAATTCCCCCTTTTCCCCCAGTTTTTTCCAGATTTCCCCAAATTTCCATTTTTCCCCCCGTTTTTTCCCGAATTTTCCCAAATTCCCCATTTTCCCCTTTTTTTCCCAGATTTTCCCAAATTCCCCATTTTCCCCCAATTTTTCCCGAATTGTCCCAAATTCCCTGTTTTTCCCCCCATTTTTTCCCGGATTTTCCCAAATTCCCCTTTTTTCACCCCAGCTTTTCCCGGATTTTCCCAAATTCCCCTTTCCCGCCCCATTTTTTTTCCAGATTTTCCCAAATTCCCCATTTTTCCCCCCCGTTTTTTCCCGAATTTTCCCAAATTTCATTTCCCCCCCAGTTTGTATCAAATTTTCCCAAATTCCCCATTTCCCCCGTTTTTTCCCGGATTTTCCCAAATTCCCCATTTCCCCCCCCGTTTTTTTCCCGAATTTTCCCAAAATCGCCGTTTTTCGCCCCAGTTTTTCTCCATCTTCGCTTTCGCCACCTGCGGCGGCTTCGAGGGCTCCGTCACCTTCAGCCTCAGCTGCCCGGGGCTGGAGAACGGCTCCGTCAGCGCCGACTTCGGCTACCCCTTCCGGTGAGACCCAAAACCGCCCGAAATCACCCCAAAATCACCTGGGCCGGGGGGGGCACCAAACGCACCGAAAACAGCCCAAAATCGCCTGAAATCGGCCCAAAAACAGATCAAAATCGGCCCGAAATCACCCCAAAAACTCACCTGGGCCGGGGGGGCACCAAACGCACCGAAAACAGCCCAAAACGCCCCAAAATTGGCCCAAAATCGGTTCAAAATCGGCCCAAAAACTCACCTGGGGCGGGTGGGGCACGAAACATAAAGAAAACAGCCCAAAACGCCCCGAAATCGGCCCAAAATCGGCTCAAAATCGGCTCAAAATCGGCCCAAGAACTCAGCTGGGGCGGGTGGGGCACGAAACGCACCAAAAACAGCCCAAAACGCCCCAAAATGGGCCAAAACCGCCCGAAATCAGCCCAAAAACTCACCTGGGCCGGGGGGGGCACGAAACATAAAGAAAACAGCCCGAAATGCCCCAAAATCGGCCCAAAAACACCCGAAATCAGCCCAAAATCGGCTCAAAATCGGCCCAAAAACTCACCTGGGGCGGGGGGGGCACGAAACGCACCGAAAACAGCCCGAAATGACCCGAAATCGGCCCAAAAACACCCGAAATTGGCCCAGAAACTCACCTGGGGTGGGTGGGGCACGAAACGCACCGAAAACAGCCCAAAACGCCCCAAAATCGGCCCAAAAACACCCGAAATCGGCCCAAAATCGGCTCAAAATCGGCCCAAAAACTCACCTGGGGCGGGGGGGGCACGAAACGCACCGAAAACAGCCCAAAATGACCCGAAATCGGCCCAAAAACACCCGAAATTGGCCCAAAATCGGTTCAAAATCGGCCCAAGAACTCACCTGGGGCGGGGGGGGCACGAAACATAAAGAAAACAGCCCGAAATGACCCAAAATTGGCCCAAACCCCCCAAAATCGGCACAAAAACTCACCTGGGGTGGGTGGGGCACGAAATGCACCAAAAACAGCCCGAAATGACCCGAAATCGGCTCAAAATCGGCCCAAAAACTCACCTGGGGTGGGGGGGGCACGAAACATAAAGAAAACAGCCCAAAACCGCCCGAAATCGGCCCAAAACCACCCAAAATCGGCCCAAAATCGGCTCAAAATCACCCCAAAACTCAGCTGGGGCGGGAGGGGCACGAAACATAAAGAACACAGCCCGAAATGCCCCAAAATCGGCCCGAAATCGGCTCAAAATTGGCCCAAAATCGGCTCAAAATCGGCCCAAAAACTCACCTGGGGCGGGTGGGGCACGAAACGCAAAGAAAACAGCCCTAAACGACCCAAAATCGGCACAAAAACACCCGAAATCGGCCCAAAATTGGCTCAAAATCAGCCCAAGAACTCAGTTGGGGCGGGTGGGGCACGAAACGCACCAAAAACAGCCCAAAACCGCCCGAAATCGGCCCAAAATCGGCTCAAAATTGGCTCAAAATCGGCCCAAAAACTCACCTGGGGTGGGTGGGGCACGAAACACACCGAAAACAGCCCGAAATGCCCCAAAATCGGCACAAAACCACCCGAAATTGGCCCAAAATCGGTTCAAAATCGGCCCAAAAACTCACCTGGGGCGGGTGGGGCATGAAACATAAAGAACACAGCCCAAAACCGCCCGAAATCGGCCCAAAAACACCCGAAATTGGCCCAAAATCGGCTCAAAATCGGCCCAAGAACTCACCTGGGGCGGGTGGGGCATGAAATGCACCAAAAACAGCCCAAAACGCCCCAAAATGGGCCAAAACCCCCCAAAATCAGCCCAAAAACTCACCTGGGGCGGGGGGGGCACCAAACATAAAGAAAACAGCCCAAAATGCCCCAAAATCGGCCCAAAAACACCCGAAATTGGCCCAAAATCGGCTCAAAATTGGCCCAAGAACTCACCTGGGGCGGGTGGGGCACAAAACGCACCGAAAACAGCCCGAAACGCCCCAAAATGGGCCAAAATCGCCCGAAATCGGCCCCAAAACAGATCAAAATTGGCCCAAGAACTCATCTGGGACAGGTGGGACACAAAATCCCCCAAAACAGCCCAAAACGCCCCAAAATCACCCCCAAAACTCACCTGGGGCAGGTGGGACACAAAACCCCCCAAAATCAGCCCAAAACACCCCAAAATCGGCCCAAACATCCCCAAAATTGGCCCAAAATCCCCCGAAATCATCCCAAAAAATCACCTGGGGCGGGTGGGACCCAAAACACACCAAAAACAGCCTGAAACCGCCCAAAATTGGCCCAAAAACACCCGAAATCGGCCCAAAATCGGCCCAAAAACTCACCTGGGGCGGGTGGGACCTGAAATACACCAAAATCGGCCCAAAACGCCCCAAAATCACCCCAAAAACTCACCTGGGGCGGGTGAGACCCAAAACAGCCCAAAACGCCCCAAAATCGGCCCCAAACTGGTCCAAAATCGGCCCAAGAACTCACCTGGGACAGGTGAGACCCAAAATCCCCAAAACAGCCCAAAAACCCCCAAAATCGGCTCAAAACCCCCCAAAATCACCCCAAAAACTCACCTGGGACAGGTGAGACCCAAAATCCACCAATGTGGAGTTGCGTTATACACCAAAAACAGTCCAAAACCCCCCAAAATCGGCCCAAAAACTCACCTGGGGCAGGTGGGACCCAAAACCCCCCAAAACAGCCCAAACCACCCCAAAATCGGCCCAAAACTGGTCCAAAATCACCCCAAAAACTCACCTGGGGTACACCTGGGGCAGGTGAGACACAAAATCCCCAAAAACTGACCCAAAAACGGCCCAGAAACTCACCTGGGACAGGTGTGCCCAGGTGTGCCCAGCTGTGCCCAGCTGTGCCCAGCCTCCCCAAGTGTCCCCACCTGCGCCCAGGTGTGCCCAGGTGCACTCAGGTGTATCCCAGGTGTGCCCAGGTGTGCCCACCTGCACCCAGGTGAGTGCCCAGGTGTGCCAGCTGTGCCCAGGTGAGCGCCCAGGTGTGCCCAGGTGCACCCAGGTGTATCCCAGGTGCGCCCAGGTGCCCCCACCTGCGCCCAGGTGTGCCAGCTGTGCCCAGGTGCACTCAGGTGTATCCCAGCTGTGCCCCCACCTGCCCCCACCTGTGCCCAGGTGTGCCCAGGTGTATCCCAGCTGTGCCCAGCTGTGCCCAGGTGCACTCAGGTGTATCCCAGGTGTACCCAGGTGCCCCCACCTGTCCCCAGGTGCCCCCACCTGCCCCTACCTGTGCCCAGGTGTGCCAGCTGCGCCCACCTGCCCCCACCTGCGCCCAGGTGCGCCCAGGTGTGCCAGCTGCACCCAGGTGAGCACCCAGCTGTGCCACCTGTGCCCAGGTGTGCCCAGGTGCACTCAGGTGTATCCCAGGTGTGCCACCTGCCCCCACCTGCACCCAGGTGTGCCAGCTGTGCCCACCTGTGCCCAGGTGTACTCAGGTGTATCCCAGCTGTGCTACCTGCACCCAGGTGTGCCCAGGTGCGCGCAGGTGTGCCAGCTGCGCCCACCTACGCCCAGGTGAGCACCCAGCTGTGCCACCTGCGCCCACCTGCGCCCAGGTGTGCCCAGGTGTGCCAGCTGTGCCCAGGTGAGCACCCAGCTGTGCTCACCTGCGCCCAGGTGAGTGCCCAGGTGTGCCCAGGTGCACTCAGGTGTATCCCAGCTGTGCCAGCTGTGCCCACCTGCGCCCAGGTGAGCGCCCAGCTGTGCCACCTGCCCCCACCTGCGCCCAGGTGCGCCCAGGTGTGCCAGCTGCGCCCCTCCCCTCCCCGCAGGCTGAACCAGGCGGTGTTCCGGCCCTCGCTGACTCACCTGTGCAACCACACCTGGCCCAGGGACGTTCACCTGCGCGGCGACTTCTCGGGCGCCGCCCGCGCCTTCGTGGGCGTGGCCGTGGCCGCCTTCCTCTACAGCCTGGGCGCGCTGGGCACCTACCTGGGCTACCTGCACCTGTACAGGTGTGCGGGGTCCCGCCTGCCCACCCTGGTGAGTGCCCAGGTGTGCCCAGGTGGGGTTAAAGTGGGGCCCAGGTGTGCCCAGGTGAGGTCTGAGTTCCTCAGGTGTGCCCAGGTGGGATTTGGGAACTTGGCAAGGTGGGATTTACCTGTCCAGGTGTGCCCAGGTGTGCCCAGGTGGGGTCTGAGTTCCTCAGGTGTGCCCAGGTGGGATTTGGGAACTTGGCAAGGTGGGGTTTACCTGCCCAGGTGTGCCCAGGTGGGCTCTGGGGGGTTACCTGGGCTACCTGCACCTGTACAGGTGTGCCGGCTCCCGGCTGCCCACCCTGGTGAGTGCCCAGGTGTGCCCAGGTGGGCTCTGGGGGGGTTACCTGGGCTACCTGCACCTGTACAGGTGTGCCCAGGTGGGATTTGGGGGGGTTAAAGTGGGGCCCAGGTGTGCCCAGGTGGGGTTAAAGTGGGGCTCAGGTGTGCCCAGGTGTGCTCTGGGGGGTTACCTGGGCTACCTGCACCTGTACAGGTGTGCCGGGTCCTGGCTGCCCACCCTGGTGAGTGCCCAGGTGTGCCCAGGTGGGGTTAAAGTGGGGCTCAGGTGTGCCCAGGTGGGATTTGGGGGGGTTACCTGGGCTACCTGCACCTGTACAGGTGTGCCCAGGTGTGCCCAGGTGTGCCCAGGTGTGCCCAGGTGGGATTTGGGAACTTGGCAAGGTGGGATTGACCTGCCCAGGTGTGCCCAGGTGGGGTCTGAGTTCCTCAGGTGTGCCCAGGTGGGATTTGGGAACTTGGCAAGGTGGGATTTACCTGCCCAGGTGTGCCCAGGTGGGGTCTGGGGGGTTACCTGGGCTAGCTGCACCTGTACAGGTGTGCCCAGGTGTGCCCAGGTGGGGTTAAAGTGGGGCCCAGGTGTGCCCAGGTGTGCCCAGGTGGGATTTGGGGACTTAGCAAGGTGGGATTTACCTGTCCAGGTGTGCCCAGGTGGGCTCTGGGGGGGTTTGAGCTGCCCAGGTGTGCCCAGGTGGGGTCTGGGGGGGGGTTACCTGGGCTACCTGCACCTGTACAGGTGTGCCCAGGTGTGCCCAGGTGGGGTCTGAGTTCCTCAGGTGTGCCCAGGTGGGCTCTGGGGGGGTTACCTGGGCTACCTGCACCTGTACAGGTGTGCCCAGGTGTGCCCAGGTGAGGATTTTGCTGGAATTTCAGGAATTTTTAGCAAATCCGAGGGAATTTTGAAGGAACTTTCGGGGAGCTTGGATGGAATTTTTAAGGAAATTCGTTAATTTTGGTGGATTTTAATGGAAATTTGGTAATTTTGGTGGAATTTTTAAGGAAATACGTTAATTTTGGTGGAATTTTTACAGGAATTCTTTAATTTTGTTAGATTTTAATGGAAATTCCTGAATTTTGTTAGATTTTAATGGAAATTCCTTAATTTTGGTCGATTTTAATGGAAATTCCTTAATTTTGTTGGATTTTAATGGAAATTTGTTAATTTTGGTGGAATTTTTACAGAAATTCCTTAATTTTGTTAGATTTTAATGGAAATTTTTTTCATATTGGTAGATTTTAATGGAAATTTGTTGATTTTGGTGGAATTTTTACAGAAATTTATTAATTGTGGTGGAATTTTTATGGTGTTTTTTTATTTTGGTGGAATTTTTATGGAAATTCATTAATTTTGGTAGATTTTAATGGAAGTTTGTTAATTTTGGTGGCATTTTTATGGAAATTCGTTAATTTTCCTGGAGTTTTTACAGGAATTCTTTAATTTTGGTAGATTTTAATGGAAATTTGTTAATTTTGGTAGAATTTTGATGGAAATTCTTTAATTTTTATGGAATTTTTACAGAAATTTGTTAATTTTGGTGGCATTTTCATGGAAATTCGTTCATTTTGGTGGATTTTAATGGAAATTTATTAATTTTGGTGGCATTCTTACAGAAATTTGTTAATTTTGGTGGAATTTTTATAGAAATTCCTTAATTTTGGTAGATTTTAATGGAAAATCGTTAATTTTGGCAGAATTTTTATAGAAATTCCCTAATTTTGGTAGATTTTAATGGAAATTTATTAATTTTGGTGGAATTTTTATAGAGATTTGTTAATTTTGGTGGATTTTCATGGAAATTTGGTGATTTTGGTAGATTTTAATGGAAATTCATTAATTTTGGTGGATTTTTCATGGAAATTTGTTAATTTTGGTGGATTTTTAATGGAAATTCATTAATTTTAGTGGAATTTTCATGGAAATTTGTTGATTTTAGTGGAATTTTTGGGGGATTTGGGCGGAATTCAGGAGGATTTGGAGCAGAATTCCCAAATTTTGCTGCAGATTTTGGGGTTCTGGGCTGGAATTTTGGGGTTTCCCGATGGAATTTTGGGGTTTCCCGATGGAATTTTGGGAATTTTGGGGAGCTTTAACCCTTTGTGCCCCTTCTCTCTCCGCTGCCTCAGAAGGCGCCCAGGTAAATCCCGCCCCCAAAATTCCCAATTTTTCCCTTAAAATTCCCAATTTCCCTTTAAAATTCCCATTTTCCCCTCAAACCTTCGCCTTTTCCCCCACAAAATTCCCTTTTTTTCCCCAAAATTCCCAATTTTTCCCCTCAAAAATCCCATTTTTCCCTCATTTTTGGGCAATTTCCCCTCTGTTTTCTCTCCTTTTTTGTTTTTTTTTTTTCCCATTTTTGGGTCATTTTCTCTCCATTTTAGGGCTCTTTTATTTTCAGTTTTTCTTCATTTTTTTTCTCCATTTTTTCTTCATTTTTGGGCCATTTTCCCCTATTTTTGGGTCATTTCCTCCCCACTTTTGGGTCATTTTTTCTCCATTTTAGGTCTGGTTTTTTCTCCATTTTTTTCCTCAATTTTTTTTCCTTTTTTCTTCTTTTTTTCTGATATTTTTGGGTCATTTTCTCTTTATTTTAGGTCTGTTTTTTTCATTTTTTTTATACTTTTTTACACCTTTTTTTTACATTTTTGGTCCATTTTCCCACCAATTTTTTCTCCTTTTTTCCCATTTTTTCACCATTCTTTCACCATTTTCTCTCCTTTTTTCTCCATTTTTTTCTCCTTTTTTTCTCCTTTTTTTCTCTTTTTTTTCATCCTTTTTTCCTCCATTTTTCCCATTTTTGGCCCATTTCCCCTCCGTTTCTGCTCATTTTTTTGGTTTTTTTACATTTTTCCCCTGTTTTTTCCCATTTTTTCACCATTTTCCCCATTTTTTCCTGTTTTTCCCCATTTTTTCCCCATTTTTTCCCCATTTTTTCCCCATTTTTTCCCCATTTTTTCACCATTTTCCCCCATTTTTTTCCCCTTTTTTCACCGTTTCTCCCCATTTTTCCCCATTTTTTCCCGTTTTTCACCATTTTCCCCTGTTCTTTCCTGTTTCCTCACTGTTTTTTCCCATTTCCCCCCATTTTTCCCTGTTTTTTTAGTTTTTTCACCATTTCTCCCCTTTTTTTTCCCCATTTTTTTCACTTTTTTCACCATTTTTTCCAGGTTTTTTCCCCCTTTTTTCCCCTTTTCCCCCCATTTTTCCCCATTTTTTCATCTTTTCCCCCATTTTCCCCCCTTTTTTTTCCTTTTTTTCACCGTTTCTCCCCATTTTTCCCCGTTTTTCACTGTTTTCCCCTATTTTTTCCCATTTTCTCACTGTTTTCCATATTTTTTCTCCATTTTTTCACTATTTTCCCACCCTTTTACTTCCATTTTTTTCCATTTTTTCTCTTTTTTTTCTCCCATTTTCTACCTATTTCTCCCCATTTTCCCCCGTTTTTTCCCGTTTCCCCCCATTTTTTCCCATTTTTTCCCATTTTCCCCCCGTTTTTCCCCATTTTTTCCCATTTCCTCACCGTTTCCCCCCATTTTTCCCCATTTTTTCCTGTTTTTCCCCATTTTTTCCTGTTTCCTCACCGTTCCCCCCCGTTTGTTCCCATTTTTTCCCATTTTCCCCCCGTTTTTCCCCGTTTCCTCACCGTTTCCCCCCGTTTTTCCCCATTTTTTCCCATTTCCTCACCGTTTTTTCCCGTTTTTCCCCATTTTTTCCCGTTTCCCCCGTTTTTCCCCATTTTTTCCCATTTCCTCACCGTTTCCCCCGTTTTTCCCCATTTTTTCCTGATTTTTCCCGTTTTTCCCCATTTTTTCCCAT